GTGGGGTGCGATGGAGAAGAAAATAAAATTTTAAATGTTTGGGATTGTGAATGAAACGTATAAAAATTTAGATATAATTTACAAAAAGAGATATTATTGCTTTAGAATATCAATTTGGTCCCTTCGCAATCTATTTTTTTTTTTCCTTTATTTGATTCTTTATTTTTTTTATATTCATGCAGAGATATTAATTTTAATAATATTAAATTCCTCTTACTATAATACCAATAAAATATAATAAAGTTATAATTTAATTACATTTAAATTTTTTTGTTCTTTTTTCTAGTCAATGTATTGATTAATTTCTTTCTTTTTTCTTTAAATAATTAACTTAATTTTGAAGAATATTATTGAGTTGTAACCATTGGTCAAAAGGAGAAAAAATGTAATTTGGTGAAGTCAAAAGACAATTTTAAAAAAAAAAATAAGAAATAAAAGATTGTTTCAAAACTAGTTTAAAGAAAAATGACCAAATGAAAAAAAATAATATTCATTTATGCTTATAAGTTTTCTTAATTTTTGAAAAGAAAATTAATGTATTTTCCGAATAGCTTAATTACAATTGATAAAAAGCTTTAACTAAGTAGTGGAAATCCAGTTGGTTATCTCCCTAAATTTAAACTTTCTGAAGTCAAAATTAAGATGATATTAGCAAATTAATTAATTATTTAATTCATATCACGCCACTAAAGACCCTATTTCTTCACGTGCTTCCATTATTCGATAACTTATTTCCTTTTATTAATGAAATTAATTAGTCATGTAACTACACCCTCATGTTCCCAACCACATTCAGCCCTTAAAATCGTATAAAATCAAATATATAGTACAGAAAAAAGAAAATTACCCACTTATTAGTTTAAATCAAATATATATGATGAACCAAATCGAACGTTAGACCTCCAAAGGATGCAAGGATCCAATATGTAAAATGTGATTTTAGATCTGAAAACTCTATCGTTGCTCGTGATTTTTACTCCTCCAAAATGTCCAAAAAGAATTTAGAAACAGTAAAGATTCTTCGATGTTTGAAACCCTTTTCTCTCTTTTTCTTTACCATTAAATTTATATTTGAAAAATTTCTAGTCAAAACTCAATAATTCATTTCACTAACAAATGGATTTTTAGACAAATTAACAAAAAAGGAAACTTGCACTTAAAAAAAAAAACAACTATCGAATTTTTGAAAAAAAAAAGTCAAATTTTTGTGGGTCTGCCCATGTATAGATACGAGAAGCTATACTAAGAGCTTGTTTGAGCCCCATTTTATTGTAAGAATGTAATTTGGAATAGTATATTAATAAAGAATGTATTACTAAAAAGTAAGAAATTTTTTTGAGTTTACTTGTAATATTATTTTATTGAAAAATGTACTGTTGAAAAGAAGAGAGAAAACTGTATTTTCAAAATAATGAGAATCAAATAAGCTCTAAATATGTTTAGCCCCCATTATTTCTCTATTGGAGTCCCATTATTTTCAAAATTCATTTTTTCAACACTCATTTTTCACCACACATTATCCCATAAAATAATTTTATACACAAATCCAAAATTTTTCTTTATTTTTGAACTACACATTCTTCAACTTTTTAATATTTCAAAATACATTTTTTGGTAAAATGTTGCCCAAATAGGGTATTTTCAACCATACATTATTTAATAAAATAATATTACAGGTAAATTCAAATTTTTATTTTTTTATTTTTTAACCACACATTCTCCATCAAATACTATTCCATAATGCATTTTCATAAAAAAAAAAAAAGAAGGGAAAAATTCATTTCTAAGACTTTTACTATATAGTATTTCAAAAATAATTAACCCACTCCATCTCCATCACCTCTACCGTTCTGTTGACTGCTCTGATTCCGAAACTATTCAGGTGACCGTTCCGTCGTCGATTTGTTCCGGCGAATCCAATTCCGGCACTTGTTCCAACTCCGGCAAATATTTCGGGGACAACTCCGCTATATTTTTTTGTACAGTTGACATGATTTTTGACCTCTTGTACAGTTGACTAGTAATATGAAATGTGACCTGTAAATTTGAACCGTAACTCTACAAAACAACATGTGACCTGTTAATATTGATCTGTGACCCGTTTATATTGATTTGTGACCTATAAAAAAATGAATGTGACTTGTGAACTCAAACATGTGATTAGTGAACTGTGACCTTAACGACGAATTAATTAGCGACAGTTCTATACAATATGGTTATGACTATCAAATTAATTGATCGTATTGATCCGTGACCCATCTATATTGATTTGTGACCTATACAAAATGACCGTGACTTGTGAACTCAAGCTTGTGACCAGTAAACTGTGACCTTAGCAACTCATTTATTCATTACAAATCAATCCCAATTTATCAAATTATTGTTCACAACTTATTTTATGGTGACAAATCAAGAGTTTTATAGTTATTTTCTTGGTCACGAATAGAAAATTTTATAAGTCACTGATTATTCATCGACACAAAATCAAAATTTTTATTAATCACAACTCGATTACATCTTAATAAATTATAAGTCACAGTAACAATTTTTAGATCACATATTATACATCGATGACGAATTAAAAATTTTATTGGTCACAACTCATTTATTTTATTGGTGACATTCTCAAATTAATTGGTCACACATTATTTTTTTGTCACAAATCACATATTTTATAGGTCACAACTTCTTAAAATAATAGGTACCGTATTATTTTCGATCACAGGTCACAAATTTTACAAGTCACGGTGTATTTTAATGTCACAATTAACCAATTTATTGTTCACAAAAGACTTTATATCACCACCACACCACCACTACCGTCTCACATACCCTAACCCTACTCCGCCGTCGCTACCACATCCAGAAACTCACCACAACCACTATCACTAACGTCGCCGCAAGTCACCATAAGCGTCATCGTAGCCGCCAACATAGCCTAACCCATACTCCACCATCCCACACCCCCTCCACTCCACGACGGCTACCATTCAAAACTACAAAAAATAAAATAAAAATAAAAATCGGCGAGCACCGACAAAGCTCCGACGAAGCAAATCAGAGGAAGAAACCACAGTGACACCAGCATCGTCACTTCTTATCGGTCACAAAAAAAAAAAAAAAAAAAAAAAACAGAAAACAAAAAATCGAGCACCGCCAAAGCTCTGACCACCATGAAGCAGCGACGCTCATGAAATTGGTTCCTTCTGCTTCATCTTCGCACCCACCTCCGTGCGCACCAATCGGACAAGAACAAACATCAATCGCACCAGAACACATAGATCGTACCCACCACCGCGCGCACAATTGCACCCGAACACACACCTATCGCCGCGCGCACCAATCACACCCACACCGTCGCACAACCATTGCACCAGAATAACGAAGGAGGACATATCTGCGTTGTCGCCGCTTCGAGCTCCAGCGTCGCCAGTGAGTGGAAAGAAAGAAGACAGAGACGAGAGGAGAGAAATATGATGAGGAGAGAGAGAGAGAGAGAGAGAGAGAGAGAGATGAATTTAGGTTTTGATTTGGGATGAAAAGTAGGGAATTGTGTAATTTCCACAAAAAAAAGGGCTCAAACAGGCTGAAAATATTAAATATACTAGTCTTCTATAACAACTTAAAAAAGTTTAAGAGGAGATGATTTATAATTCACAACTTTGTAATCAGAAAAGGATCCAGGATCTGAGTATTATATAGAAAAATAAATGAATTTGCACATAATTTTTTTTTTACAAGAAACTTTTTTTTACATTAAAAAAATTGATGGCCCAGTCCCACTAAATCCGTCCATGCTCGTGATGACATTTTTATACAAGATATTTTTTTCAGCAAGACTGCCCCCAAAAGAAATAAATATTGCTCAACTTCTATCACTCATTCAAGTAATTCCTCAAGTAAAAAATGGCTTAATGTCAATGAAATCATATCCTTAAAGCCAAATAACTTTCTGATTTGGCAAGTGCTTACTTTTTGCCTTGACCAAAGAAAAGATCTTTTTACCCTCAAAAGTAACTAGACTTCTGAACATAAAGGGCATTTTGATAAACCATGGCATTGATCATTTACTTTAGAAGTAAATAAATTTCCAAATATGAATGCTTATAATTACAAGATGACGAGATATATAGAAGTAAATAAATTTCCAAATATGAATGCTTATAATTACAAGATGACGAGATATATGTTTACAAGTTCACAAGTCGAGCCTTAACTTAGTGGTACGACTATCTCATTCTATGACATAAAACTGTTAAAGCTTCAAGCAAACTATATTCTTGGAACTTTTAAACCGCATGCATGAATCAGGTTTCAACTGGCCATGCAATATGTCCTCATCCTCCCAAAGAATATGCAAACACGTCGCATCTGTTCTGTCACATTATGAACAAACTTAGGGCATTTCTATCTGTTTTTTCTAGTGCACTGGAAAACCTAACTCGTGGATGACTTTGCATAGAGTAGCTTCAAAAAATTGAATCCAGTTAAGAGATGGAAAATGTAAGAGGTTCTGAATGTATCAGCTGAATATGTATTGCGTGTAGCTTCAAAAAATTGAATCCAGTTAAGAGATGGAACATGTAAGAGGTTCTGAATGTATCAGCTGAATATGTACTGCGTGTACAAGGCATGGTAATAGTGAAAATTACAGAGGAGAAATGGTGTGACGGACTACTAAAGTTACTTGGCAATCGGATTGATTGATCCAAGCATGCTGCCCAGTTCTATAGGAATTAGGAACTGTTATGAAACATAAAAGAACACATTGACAACTGGAAAACCTGGCCATCGTGAAAGAAGAATTCTTTCAAAAATCATAATCTATAACCGAAATATTTTGGATTGATCGATCCAAGCATGCTGCCCAGTTCTATAGGAACTGTTATGAAACATGTACACTGACAACTGGAAAACCTGGTCATCGCGAAAGAAAAATGTAGACTTCTTTCAAAAATCATAATCTATAACCGAAATATTTTGAGAAACAGATCGTTTGATCAAGTGGCCTTGCTCATCATAAAGGTCGAGGTTTTCACATGGAGCAGGAAAAACAGTCCCTATAACACGACCTTGAACATAAGAACACTGGAATATGTGCTTTTTCTTATATGTTATTCCTACAGACATGTCGCGGAACGTGATGTTTCTTACAGGAATTTCATCACTGCCATGAATACGAACCGGCACACGAACTCCTTCACCATGTATCGATGTGTAGCTTATGTCCTCTAGTATTGGAATAGCTTTGCGGTCATACTCATCATCTGCATATTCGTTGTAATCTGTCTTGACAACAATTCCCACACGAACATTATCAAGTGTCACGTTCTGATATGTTATATGTCGAACGTATCCTCCTCTTCCAGGGGCTGTCTTGATCCGAATAGCACGCCTTGAATTCCATACATGGAGATTTTCCACAGTGACATTCGACACCCCACCAGACATCTCACTGCCTATTGATACCCCGGCACTGTCATTCAGTAAAGTACAATCTCAAGGCATACATCTCAATAAAATTTTACGTAGGGGAATCAAGTCCATGATCTCTATTAATTTCAGAAGGAGATTATAAAGACCACGGATTTTCCCATCTTGCCCTCTTTTTCATTTGTTTGGCTCAGGGGCTATTCATGTGCCGACATTACTCATCCGTACTGTCCACTGGAAGTTGGGACCAATGTGGATTTATTTCACGTCCCTAGAGATTCAAACCTAAGACCTTCCCCTCAAGTGAACTCAAGTGAACATCCCCTGTGCTAACGGGCAAGATTGGGGAAATCCGTGGTTGTTACAGAGATAGCACATTGAGTCATCTCACCTCACCATGGAGCGAACAACAAGGTTTCGAATGTGTATGTTCTTTGAAGGCCGTGCATAGGCAATCCCATATTGATCCCAACCACTCTTTATTGCAATGCCATCATCTCCCACACTTATGTAACAGTTCTCAATTATCATATCTTCACACGAATCTGTTTAGCCCAAATTCATAAATAAGAGCTCGTATAAGATAACCCAACAGATAATTGACAGATATAAAGTAAATCCATGTAGATATAGAAGTTCATCGTATCATAAGGTCAACAGCAATTGGATGTTGAGTTCCTTCAATTGCATAACCAATGCATTGAGATCGTAAATTTAAGTTGAAAGTATTCAATCCCCTTCCATAGGGGTAGCAAACTCCAATAATTAATAAAGCATCCTGATAACGAGATTACACGACAAAAGAGGTGATATCACTCATAATATTGTTTCCAATGCTCATTTTCAACTATTGTTTATATATGTTTTAGCAATTAGAAAATCTAATCAGCTTATACTTCAATACAGGTTCACTGTTTATACCTCGTATTTGTACGGCTCGTCCATCCCTAATGTCATGCAAGACAAAGCAACAGAACAGACTTACCAGGGTCTATGCCATCAGTATTTGGAGCTTCAAAAATGGGTGCCAAGATCGTTACGTTTCTGATCGTGACATTTTTGCAGTCGTAGGGATGGAGTGTCCAAAACGGAGAATCACGCAATGTTATATTAGATATCAGAATATCAGTAGACCACATAATCTGCACAAGTGGTCCTCTAGTGTTGTTAAGAAGCTTCTGCCGATACTTCTTCCACCATGTCTGACCCTGTCCATCAATGGTGCCATTATGTCCTGTCATCAATAAAGAGATACAAGCATTCAGATAAATGAAAAATATGCATTTACACTAACATTTTCACTATCTAAAACGGGTTCTGCAGTCTTGGGTAGTACCAAAAGGATTCATTTATCACCAGAAATCAGTAAATTTATGAATTGCACTTTGGAAAATAGCAAAGTATCCGTAAGCAATATGTATGAGAAAATCAACTGTGAATTGAGACGTCATTGAGGCAATTTGTATGACATTACCATACTTTTTCTATGTTGCATGGACATGGAGAACTGCAGATGACATGACACAGACAGAGGATGTGGATAACATCTTAACATATAGGAGACGATTTGTCTGTCTATATGTAAATTGTAATTACAAGGCAAAAAACATTCAAAAACTTGAAGTTTAACCAAATTACAAGTAACTAAAATCATCATTCATTTTTATTGGACCAAAAGTGAAACTAACAAAAATAAATACTTATTTTCATGGTAAAAGTTTCTTTATTCCAAGAAGGGTTGTAAAAGTAAAAAATTATATCTTTGTTTTATAGCTATTAAAGATTCATAGACATGTTCCTATACAAAAAATACGTTTATAAAATTAAAATTACACTGTGAAGGCTATTTGATTACCAAAAGGGATTGTGGAACTTTTTCCTCTTTCGTTTACTGGCTTTTAATGCTGGTCACTTTTCACCTAAAGAATTTTGAAGCCATGCAAATTACACTGACTGACATGTATGGGTCACTTTCTGACCCAAATAAGGAACAGCACCACCCCCTCCCCTCCCCTCCCCATCCTGCCTGCCTGTCTGCCCCCTGAGCTGATAGAAAGAAGCAAAACAAAAGAGAGTCCAAAGCAACTGCTCCATCCAAAAGAAGCATATGAACTCCAATTTAATGCTGACCTGTAACTACAACATCTTTGAGGTTTTGGCCATGAATTAAACTTCCAAATCGTGGTCCAGGATGTTCTCTACCATAACCATATGAAGGCAATGGAGGCATCAGCGGCCAATACTTCTCATCCTACAAAATATTGCAAATGGAAAAAAAAACCCATCAATTATCAAAATGAAAAGGAATTGAGATTTAGATGTCTTGTCCAACTTTCAAGCAGCGTACAAAATTATAATTGACATCCAAGAAATATTAAACTATGTTAATGCTACATGTTAAAACATATTTGTTCGTGAATAATACACATGTACCACGATTTACTGCTGTCACTAGATTGCCAGTTGATTTGTGGCACTTTACACTTGGGCATGTCCCTCACTCTGGAATCTCGTCCTTGCATAAATCTGTGCCTGAAATTGTCTCAGATTCTGAGTTTCATTGTAACATTTGTCCAATGGAAAAACAGCATCGTTTGCCCTTTCATAACATAACTCATGTTTCTAAGTCTACTTTTGAACTCATTCACTACGATATTTGGGGTCCATATTAAACCTCCTCACTTGATGGTTCTAAATTTTTTTAACTATAGTGGTCGACTATAGCAGGTGCACTCGGACATTCTTGATGCAAAATAAATCACAGACCAGACATATTCTTCAAACATTCTTTCACATGGTTGAAAATCAATTCAATACCAAAATCAAAATTTTGAGGTCTGATAATGGGGTTGAGTTTGCCATAACAGACTTCTATGCTTCAAAAGGTGTTGTGCATCAACTGAGCTGTGTTGAAAGACCACAGCAAAATGGCGAACGAAAACACCAACATCTATTGAACGTTGCCAGAGCACTCAAATTCCAAGCTAAACTTCCTAACCTATCTCATTAATCGAATTCCCAGTTTATCTTTATCAGAAAAGTCACCTTATGAAATTCTATTTTAAACAAAACCTTCATATTCACATCTAAGAGTATTTGGCTCGTTGTGTTATGCCTCTACTCTTCACAGAAGATCCAAGTTTTATCCTTGTACGGTACCCTACATTTTCATTGGTTATCCAATTAATCAAAAGGCCTATAAACTATATGACCTACTTATCAAAGCTACCTTTGGGTCTAGAGATGTTATTTTTCATGAAAATATATTTCATTTTCATGATAATATATATGTAGCCTCTCTTGGTTCCTCTAGTAATGATGAATTTCTTCACTCCCATGTTCCTCTTTTTCCATCTCCTGCTTATCCTATATCAGAACCTTTGCCTCATACTTCTAATCCTACTCCCACGGCTTCATCTCCATCATTGCCAATCTCACAATCTACTCCCATAATTTCACCTCCATCCCCGCCATTACCTCTTAATCCCCTCCGCACGTCTACTAGACCTAGGAAGCCTCCTAGCTACTTACAAAAATTCCACCGCAACATGATTTCTCAGACAAATTCCATACCTCATAATCCCCTTTCTGGCAATCCTCATGTTTTATCCACCACCTTAGGATATGATTCCCTTTCCCATGAACATAGAGCCTATGTGTTGTCACTATCAACCATTATTGAGCCTTGAACCTTCAAGGAAGCCTCTCAGTTCCCTGCTTGGTGTGAAGCCATGGACAGTGAATATCAAGCCCTAATTGCAAATAATACTTGGACTCTCACTCCCCTTCATGTCAATAAAAAACTGGTAGATTGCAGGTAGGTGTATAAAGTTAAATTCAAACAAGATGGTACTGAGGAAAGGAAGAAAACCCGTCTTGTGGCCAAGGGATTCACTCCGCAAGTTGGGCTTGACTACCAGGAAACATTTTCCCAAGTGGCTAAGTTCGCTTCAGTTAAAGCTGTTTTAGCAGTGGCAGCAAGCAAGAACTGACACGTGCATCAGCTCGATATCAACAACGCATTCCTCAATGGAGATCTTGAGGAGGAAGTCTATATGTGGATGCCACCTGGGTATGAGCAGCAGGGGGAGCATGGTGAAACCTTAGTGTGCAAACTCAACAAGTCCATATATGGACTTGAACAAGCATCACGACAGTAGAACAATAAGCTGTCTTCCTTCATCATTTCCCAAGGATTTGTCCAATCAAAATCAGATTATTCACTTTTTAGCAAGAAAACAAGTTGCTCATACACTGTACTACTCATCTATGTGGATGACATTATCATAGGATGAAATGATTTAACATACATTGAGCAATTTAAGAAGGGTCTTGATAATCCGTTCAAGTTAAAAGATTTGGGAGTTTTGAAATATTTTCTGGGACTTGAGGTTGCAAGGTCTTCAACGGGCATTGCTGTATGTCAACGCAAATATGCTTTAGAAGTTCTCGAAGATGCTGGTTATTTGGGGTCCAAGCCTATAAAATATCCTATGTTGCAGAACCTGAAATTGACTAAGAATGAAGGTGAGCTACTTGAGGATCCTAGTATGTACAGGAGACTAATTGGAAGGTTACTATATCTAACAATCACTAGGCCAGATTTATCATTCTCCATACAAGTCCTGAGTCAATATTTGGAATATCCTAGAAAACCACATTTGGAAGCGGCACATCATGTGCTCAGATATGTTAAAAGGAACGCCAGGATAAGGCCTTTTCTTTGCTTCTTTGGCGATCAAAGAAGCAACACACTATCTCAAGATCTTCGGCTGAAGCTGAATATAAGGCCATGGCTGCAACCGTATGTGAAATTATTTGGCTCAAAAAGGTGTTGACAGATCTAGGGATAAATCATTCTAAGGCTGCCCTTCTATTTTGTGACAATCAAGCAACAATCTTTTTTTTTTTTTTTGATAATTAATCAATCAAGCAACAATCTACATAGCCAACAATCCAATCTTTTCCACGAAAGGACAAAGCATATAGAGTTGGACTGTCATCTGGTGAGGGAAAGAGTGAAGTCTGGTGACATAAGGATGATGCATTTGTCTACACAAAATCAGTTGGCAGATTTATTGACGAAGGCCTTAGGAGGAGTCAGGTTTCAAACGTTGTTAACCAAGATGGGTGTGTTGAACATCCACAAGCCATCTTGAGGGGGAGTCTTGCAGAATAAATAGAGTATGCAGGGATATTTGTGTCGTTACCAGAATTCAGTTAGATTAGTTGGCAATTAGTGAAGCTGTTAGCTAATTAGTTCTTTCTGTCATTAAGTGAAATGGATGTGTATATATAGAGTACACCTCATTATCAATAAGATTCTCATTTTACCTTCCTCACATTACTCTCGTGAGTCTTTCTTTCTCGCCTTTTCTTACATCTTCTTCCGTTCTCTGCTTCAGCAGATTCTATATATCTTCGTAGTGATTGAACAGTTTGATGAAGATTTCACTCCATTTCGACAACTTGATTATAGACCACCATAGAATGAGTTAACTTGAGCAAGTTTTGCTAATGTCTTCAGGAGTAGGTCTTTAAATCTGCCCCATGCCTCGTGAAAGATTTTGGATTCATGTTGCTTGAAGGTAGTTATTTCAAGTCTTACTTGGGTAACTTTTGATGGTGGAAAATATTTATACGTGAATCTCAGCACCATGTCATTTCACGAAGTGACATTTCCGATAGGTAATGAATACAACCATACTCATACGTCGTCTTTGAATGTATATAGAAAGAAATGCATTTGAAAAGCATCTGCTTGAATTCCCTTATGGATGAAAATTTCACACAACTTCCGAAAATATTTTAATTGCTCATGTGGATTCTCATTAGACTTCCCATAAAACCCGAGGCTCTATTCAAATGTTATTTGCTTGGACATCTTAAACAATATGAAAGGGGTATCTAATGAGATTTATATGAAAGCAATAAATGCTTTTAAGGATCCCCGATTTCAGGGTGTCATTTGTGAAGATGTCAGAAGCAAGGAGATGGCCTATCTTGGAACTACTTTGATATGATTGTTGTTTTAATTTCTCTAGTCTCTTGTTGTTTTAATTTGTGATGTTGAAGGTTGAAGTACTGTGTTATATTCACAGCTCCAAGTACTTTTTTTTACCTTTTTTGGTGATGTTGCACTATTTCCATTTATGAACTTAGTGATATTGCTGGTTGTAGAACTGATATTGTTATTTTCTCTTTAATATATCAATGCTTGATTGCTTGTTTTATTTGAATCAATAATGGTTGATATCACTTATGATAATTTCTGTGGATATATTTTGTTCACAGTTGGCCAGTGAATCAAATGTGGATGATAATATAAGTATCGATGATTCCATTGATAAGATTCGAGTGATGATGATTTGTTATTTATGGATGATTTTGATGCAAATTTTGGAGATTTAATGATGCTTAATTGCTTTGTTGCCAACAAAGGAAGTATCAACGGCAGGAGACCTTGTAGAACATCATTGCTTACGGGAAAAATGTACATGCTAGAAATTCTTAATGGATATCTGGACGTCTGCTATTGTAATTTTCCTATGTAGAAACATGTTTTCATGAATTTTTGTGATATTTTGAAAGAGAAAGGGTTGTTGAAAGATGGAAAAAAATTGAGCATCAAGGAGGGTGTTGCCATGTTTCTGATGATTATAGGGCACACTACACGATACAATATTATTGGTGATAGGTTTTGGCATTCCAACAACACGATACACAAATGGTTTAAACGATTTGCAAGGACTATTTGTTCCTTTGGCACTGAGATAATCCGTTCGACAAATCAATATGTTGTGCATGAGCGGATTTTATGAAAATATCATTTCTTTAAGGATTGTATAGGCGCATTAAATGGTACACATACTGTAGCTTGGGCACCTGAATCGCGACAAACATCTTTTCGTGGAAGGAAAACTAATGTAACACAAAATGTGATGTTGACATGTGATTTTGATATGAAATTCATATTTGTATATTCTGGTTGGGAATGTACTGCTAATGATTTGTGAGTATACGTTGACGCAGTCACAAGAAGCTCGAACAATTTTTCAATGCCACAGGGAGGTATATTCTTATACTTCAAATTATTATTGTGAATGTACCTACAGTGTTACACTATGTAAGTCTTTTTTTTGCAGATCAATTTTATTTTGTTGATTATCGCTATCCAAACATGCCTTGATTTCTTTCCTCTTATCGAGGTCAAACATATCATATGCATGATTATGTTGGACGGGGAAGACTACGTGGGAAGGAAGAATTGTTCAACTATATACACTAGTGTCGTAACATTATTGAACGTTGCATTGGAGTTTTAAAGGCGCGATTTCCTATTTTGAAATTGATTACCAATTATCCACTTAGCATGAAAAGACAAATCCTTACTGCATGTTGTGCAATACACAATTTTATTCGTCAGGGCCATGCTTTAGATAAGTTGTTTACTGAGTTTTTAAATGAGAATATGGTGTTTCAAGATATACCTGAGTCAAGTCAAGATCTAGAAGTCATACATTTTGATACTAGTCAAACAGCTCAAATAAGACAAGTCAATAATCAAATTGTTACACAAATGTGGAATGACTACTCAAGACGTCGTACATGATTCCGTGGATTTATTTTATACATGTACCTATGGAGGCTAGAAGCATCATTGTAAACTTCTTCTGCATCTTTCATGAAGTCACATTTCTGAGTTGAAAATGTTGTTTTAAATATTTTGATATCTTTTTTGTTATTGACATAACTGTGTTTCAAAATGCCATTTAAACATCCAACTACCAAAAAGCGTTGAGGCCTTCAGAAAGACCAGTTCACCATCCATTCGCCCATCGAACACTCATCTCAAACTTCTCTCTGCGCAGCACCCGAATCTCCTCGCTACTCAGAGATCTCTGTTGCTCTCCACGCATCTCCGTGCAGCGCATAGATTAGTCTACACTGTGCGGAGGGTTCTTTAGTTGTCAGTCTACGTCTACAAGGAGTGAAGTGAAGATTTTTATTCAATATGAATAATAGGGTTATGACATCAGTATTTATACTAACCCTAGGCTAAGTCCAAGCCCGTACAAGACTTTAGGGCCACACACGAAAATACACTTGTACCGTACCGCGGGGCGTTGCTCCCGCACCCCCAACCTATTTAGCGTCCCTGACAAACTAATAGTGAATTAAACCCACAAGGCCAATGCCATCACTCCACTCCGGTATCGGCCATTTTGATCTAGTATTTGTTGTTATCTATCATTTTATTAGCTTCCGAGTTATTTCCATTTCAATACTGATTAAAATGTTTTCATATATTTGTTCATCTTAATTTTATGTCCTACCAATGATAAGTGTAGTTTCTATACTTATTCGAGATCCTAAGTGATGATATTTTATTATCATTTTGATAAAATTTTACCTAATTTATGTTATATTGTATCTTTGTAGGTAAACATT